TCGGAGACCCTGTCTCCAGTTTGGGAGATTTCTGGAGATTTGGAGATGAAGCTTGGGGAGGGAAAGACCGTAGCAGGGTATTAGGCTACCAGCCTTTGATGGGGCTCCATTGGTACTGGCGCTGAGGGTGACGAGCCTACGGGTGTTCCTGGATGCCTCATTGATTATGGAGGCCCAGGCCCAGGTCACTGCCACTGCCAGATCTGCCTTTTTCCATCTGAGGCAGGTCAGCCAGTTGGCCCCATATCTCTACCCCCAAGATCTGGCTGTGGTGACCTATGCAACAGTCACTTCCAGATTAGATTGCTGTAATTCTCTCTCTGTGGGGCTTCCCTTGACTCTGCTCTGGAGACTGCAGCTTGTGCAGAACGCAGTGGCACAGGTACTGATGTCACTGCCTGTGCAGGCACATATCCACCCAGTGCTGCATGACCATCACTGGCTGCCTATTCCAGATCCGTGTATTGGTGCTTATCTTTAAAGCCCTATATGGCCAGGGGCCTGTATATCTTTGAGACCGCCTCTCCCTATATGAACCCCGTAGATCATTGCGTTCAGCCAATCAACATCTCCTGGTAGTCCCTGGCCTAAAGGATGTCTGACTTGCCTCAGCTAGGGCCAGGGCTTTTTTGGCCCTGGCCCCTGCTGGGTGGAATGAGCTACCTTATGAGATCAGGGCCCTGCAGGGCTCATTACAGTTCCGCAGAGCCTGCAAGACAGAGCTCTTCCACCAGGCCTTTAGTTGAGGCAGCGGGCATCCATCCTGTTTGGGCCTCCCCCCCCTCCAAGTGACCGCAGATCCTGGAAGACCAAATTGGGACCACACTATCTGCCGTTGTTCAAATATTGATGATTTTATGGAATTAGACTGATAGTTTTATAGATTTTAATTGATTACTGTAAGATATTTTAGATTGTAAATCTACCTAAATCACAGATCTATATACATATTTATATGTTGGTACCCGCCCTGAAGGAGCTGTGGTGGCTCAAGTGGTTAAGACGCTGAACTGCAGGCTGTGGAAGGTAGGTAGTTCAGCAGTTCAAGACCCGAGTGTGCCGCATCCCATCTCTAGTTCCAGCTCCTGCCAACCTAGCGGTTCGAAAGCAAGAAATTGCAAGTAGATAAATAGGTACCACTTCGGTGGGAAGGTAACAGCTTGTTCCGTGCGCCTTGGTGTTTAGTCATGCCACCCACATGACCACGGAAACGTCTTCGGACAGCGCTGGCTCTTCGGCTTTGAAACGGAAGAAGAGGAGGAGGAGGAGGAGGAGGAGGAGGAGATTGGATTTATACCCCGCCCTTCACTCTTTTTCAAGAACAGCTCTTATCAGAACTACGGCTTGCCCAAGGTCATCCAGCCAGGTGCAAGTGGAGGAGTGGGGAATCAAACCCGGTTCTCCCAGATTAGAGTCTGCGCATTTAACCACTACACCAAACAAAGATGAGCATCGCAACCCTAGAGTCGGATTCAACTGGCTTTCGAGCAAGGGAACCTTTACTTTTATCTTTTTACCTGCCCTGAGCCTACAAATGGGGGGAGGACAGGATATAAGTAGAACAAAATAAATAAATAAATAGTACCATACAATTCACTCTCCAAAGCAGCCATTTTCTCCAGGGGAACTGATATCTGTTGTCTGGAAATCGGCTGTAATTCCAGGAGATCTCCAGGCCCCACCTGGAGATTAGCAGCCTTAAAACACTCTGAACCAAGGCCAAACTGCCTTGCTTAATGAGAAGTCGGAAAAGAGTACCCTATACTCAGGAAGCCTCCCCACCACCATCTCGTATATTCCCTCGATACTTAAGAGAAAAACATTAGCAGCCCTCACATAGAATACTCTCAAGCAGGGCCTTCTTCCCGCCTTTTTTGCCTCTGCTATCCCCCCACCCCCGTCCCACCGACGTCTAAAGACTGGCACACTCAGACCCCCGCCTTGGCCTAAGTCCTAAGAGGTTTTCCTTATGTTGCCAGGCAACGCTGAACGCTCTCAACTAGCTTCCGCCACATCACTCCCTACAAATAGAAAAACAGAAAGGCTAAAGTGACGCAGAAGCCCCAGCATCCGGCAAACAGGAAAAACTATTACCGCTCTATCCTCTGCTTGCTCTATGATAAGAAACCCTGACAACCTAGAACAAGTGACTATCTGTTTTATACCGGAAGTACTCCTCAGAAAGAGAGGCGTGTAGCAGTCAGTTTGGACCTTCTCTCTCTCTCTCTCTATGACAATGGGCTAGAGTTAAGTCGTGCCGGTGAAAGCAAAGCTGTATGCTCGTAAAAGCCTGTTGCGCAGCACGCTGGGACGGAGGAAGGGGGCGGGGCTTAGCGGAGTGCGGTTAGGAGCAACGAGTCGCTTTCCTTCGCGCGCCTTTCGAGCGGCGGCGGACGGTGAGCTAGGGGATTTGGGTTTCTCTGGGTATGGGAAAGGAGGGATTCCGCTTCTCCCTCTAGCGAGAGGGGGGTTGTCTAATTGGTTTGCATTCTGTGCATGCTTAGAGATTGGCTTTTCCTTAATAGAAGCAGCATTTCCTACTACGCGGAGTGGGTTCACATACCTTCCTCCTACAGCTCAAGAGAGTGTTAATTGGCCCTCCTGTGAGTGGGTCTGCATTCTTGGGGAACCTCCCATCTCTCCCTGGAACCCATTTTTATCCTGCTCTTTCTCGAAGAACTTAGCGATTGCTTTTCTTCCATTTTGTCCTCACAACAATCCTGTGAAGTAGGTTAGGATGAGTGGGCCAAGGAATCTTGGTGACCTTTGTGATGTGGTGTTGATTTGAGCTTCTCATGAGTATGCCCCCCCCAGTATGTAATAGCTAGTGGTGTCTAAGCATATTCATATTAACCTGTCTTATACAGTCACATTATTGGTTCATCTATGTCTCTGCTGGCTGCATAGGTTCCTAGGCAGGGATTTTCTATGGCCTGAGATCCTTTGGAGATGAAAGAGAGTGAGCTGGACCTAACTCTCCCTATTTGCTAGGGATTGCTCTCTCTAAGCCTGTTGGTAAGGTTCAAAATCACATACCTCAAGGGCAGGGAGAGACTCCCCAGTGCAGAGCCTAATAGCCAATTTGTATTTCATATATTAGTGCAAGGGTTGCCTATTACATTTTATCGTGCCCTTCCTCCGTGGAGTCCAGGGTTATGCTCATGGCTTTCCCTTTCCCCTGGAGCCAGTAGGGTAGTGGTTAAGAGTGGTGGACTCTAATCCCCACTCCTCCACATGAAACCAGCTGGGTGACCTTGGGCCAGTCACAGTTCCTTCAGAGTTCTCTCAGCCCCTAAAAATAAGTCTAGCTCGCCACCAGCACAATGCTGAGAGCTAAAACTTGTGGCTGCCAGACAATCCTAGAATCTCGGCTATTCTACACACAATGTCATACGATAATTCCCTTGGAGTCAATGTCTCCAGTTTATGAGCTGAGATTTCTGGTTGTGTGGGGGTTTGAGCCCAGGTGTCACGATCTGGTGCTCTAAACACTACATTTCACTTGCTTCTGTAAATGGGCTAGAAGCATAGTCCTTTATCTTTTATCTTTCCCCAGCCCCCTCTGATTCCTGTCTAGAGATGTAAAATTTCCAGAGATTTTGAAGCTCGGGGAAAAAAACAGTTTTTTTCCGTGTTTTTCCCCCCGGAAAAAAATGTAAACTTTCAGAAAAATTGAAAAAAATGCTACATTAGCACGTCTTTTTTCTTTTCCATATTGAAAGTCATTCTGTTACTTTAGGAACATAAAATATGGCTATGGACATTTTTTCTTGGTATGAAATTATCACAACTAGCATATTAAAAATATAGTGTATCCAAACAATTATTACAAACAGAATACCCACCCACATGCAAAAACAAAACTGAAACCTTTTCCTTTTCTTGTGACAATAGCACCTCCTAAAGGAAGAAATGCATCTTGTTCTTGCATTGGAGAGTTCAGTTTGTAACCCAGGACTTGCTTGTCCTCAGTGCACAGAAATTCGATCAGTCTGATACCATACATATTTTGTAGAAATGATTTGGAAAATATTTGAACACCTTGTCTTAAAATATTTTATTCATCATGTTAAAATAAAATGTTCCATAATCAATTTTTTTCCTTTTTTCAATTTTTCGGGGGGGAAAAACAAAAAAGGCTTCAGGGAAAAAATGGTTTTTTTCCAAATTTTGTGGGTTTTTTCCTGGCCTTCACATCTCTATTCCTGTCTGTTCCCAGTTGTCTACAATGGCTGAACGGCCCGAAGATCTGAACTTGCCCAATGCTGTCATAACCCGCATCATCAAGGAAGCGGTGAGTAAGGGGTGTTTGGAATCTGAGAACCCTGCTGGATCAGACCAATGGCCCATCTAGTCCAGCACTGTGTTTCCCACAGTAACCAAGTGAGTGTACTTGGTAGGGGGTAGTTTTGGAAATCCAACATGAAGTAAGAGTTTGCTTGCGAGTTGGGCAGGCAGCTGAACCAAAGGATCCCATTACATACAACACCCAAACAATCAAATCATTCCTTGGTATCTCTTGGTTCTAAGATGTATTTCCCAGACAAATTAGCATCTCTTTGGTCTCCCCCCCCCCCAGCTTCCTGATGGAGTGAACATATCCAAAGAAGCCAGGAGTGCTATCTCCCGAGCTGCCAGTGTGTTTGTGCTGTATGCCACGTCATGGTGAGTGTTACTTCTGTCAAGGTGCAGAAATATGAATGTATGACTAGTTTACCTGGAGTAGAACTATGTTACCATTTAAGCTGTCTTTCACAAATTTTGTTTGCCACTGGGCTCTGTGGTAAAGCTTCTGCTTTGCAGTCAGAAAATCTCACATTCAATCTGTGACATTTCCTGTTAAAAGTATCAGACAGTAAGTTATGAGAAAGATCTTCTGCCAGTCAGAGTACTAACCATGGTAGATCAGTTGTGCACCAGCTTTCTGTTTAATGCAACTGATGACACAAATATTTAAATTTGGTTTTGTTAGTTCAATCTGCAAAATATTGACAAAGCTCAGACTCCTTTAATAAAAGCACGCACAAACTCTATTTATCTTTCACAACATTTGGCAGCAATGTAGATCTTGTTTACAGGAACTGTAGTGCTTAACTGTAAACAAGATTTCTTTAAAATATACTGTGCCTGTCAGTGATGAATAATTTTCACTTTGCTTTTGCAACCTCACCCTTGTTTAGTGCCAATAACTTTGCAATGAAGGGGAAGAGGAAAACCCTGAATGCCTCAGATGTCCTCTCAGCTATGGAGGAAATGGAGTTCCAGCGATTCATTGCCCCTCTGAAGGAATCTTTGGAAGGTAGCATGGAACTTGTCCCACTGTCCTTCCCCTCTGTTTTCTGCAAATGGGTTCTCCTTAAATATGGGGTGTGTCTAACTTTGGTGCATTTGCTCTCCTAGCCTACAGGCATGATCAGAAAGGCAAAAAAGGAGCAGTGGAGTTAAAAAAGAAAGACAAAGATAAGAAGGAAGATTCTGCGGATCCAGATAAAAACCGGGAGGATGAGAATGAAGATGAGGACGAAAGGATGGAAGAGGAGGAACAAAATGAAGAGGAGGAAGTGGATAACTGAGCAGCTTGATGACAAGTCTGCCGAGGCCAGACATCCTTCACATGTGGAAGGAAGTGATGCTGCCGCACATTTTGCAGTAGACGGCCTTGCTGGTCTGTAAGGCCCACTGCCTTGTTTGGGAAGCCCCAAAACAAAAGTCTCAGACTACAGCTGCTTGGAGCAAAACCTATTTTGGAACAAAATGCCAGGGATGCTGAAAAAAAGGCTGCTTTCTTCCGTTGTCTGGATGGCTTATTAATGTAAAAGACTGGGTGTCGATATGGGTTCAGGATGGAAGCACAAAGATATCCTCTCCAAAACTGGGAGAAATGGACATTAAATAAGTCAGCTTTGCTAATGGTGTCTGAAGTCAATGGTGCTTTGGCGCATCTCTGGCTGGTTGGGTTCAGATTTGAGGTGTTCAAAGCTCAGGTTGTAGAATAGGCAGGGCATTTACACAGAGCAGCCCACCTCGGCTTGTCTCACTGTGCTCCAGCTGTGCCTTCTCTTGATTTCTGAGGATGCTGATTGGGTCTCTTCCTGTCCGATGTGTCCCTGCTGCGGCCATCTTTACCCACAGCTCTGGTTTTCCTGATGCCTTTTCATGATTCAGATTTGGAGTTTTCGATTTCTACTATGAACTATCCAAAGTGTGGTTTGTTAAGATGAAGCTTTTCTTCTAAAGTGATGTCATTAAAAGGACCACAAAACTAAGGCAATGTTTCTCTTAAGTTTATGAACTGCAAGGTTAGGAGAGGCTTGGGTCAGGTTGTCTACAGGAGGATAGTCTTCCTTCAGTCAAGTAGATGGAAGGTTTTCTGGTCAGCAAGTGTGACATTCTCTCCAACTGCAGCCCAAAATGCCACCCAGTGCAGCTCGGGGGTGGGGTCCATGTCCTAGTCTATCACAGTCAAAGGTGAAAAAGAGAAATACCGTATTAGGCCATATCCCTCTGCCTTTCTGGGTGGGCGTCACCTCACCCTATGGGCGGCATATCCACAAAAGCTGTCTTTGGAGACATTCTTACAAAAAGACAGATATTGCTACATTGAAAATTTGATGAACATACACAGCAATATCTGTCTTTTTGTATCTTGTGCCACTCTAATTGCTGGATCCTTTATAATTTTTTGGAGACATTCTTGCCAACAAAGATGCAGTAATGAATTACAAGCAACCTTATTGGAACCAGCAGGCACTGCATTACTTTGCCAGGAGGGATTCAAGCCGTACAGCATTTGAAAGAATAATAAAAAGTGGAAATATGGGGGGGGGGGGATTGTAATAATAGATTTGGGGTATTTAAAAGTAGAGGAGATGAAACCTGAAAACTCAAGTGCCTGATGGCTTTCCCAGATCGTTAACTGAAGAGGAGGTGGCTCCTGCCTTTGAATGTATATCCAGAGTAGGTCCTCCCCCCAAAAGCAGAGATCTGACCCACTTGGTTTGATTGCTAAGCTTCTGCGCCACAAAAAACTGGAAGGTTCTCTGTGGAAGATGAATGATCTCAGTCTCGGGGTGTTCTAAGGGTAACCATGTTCTGTATGTAAACCATGGGTTATACAACTTTAATGTTAAAGGTATAGACTCATAAAAGCATGCAGTTAAAAGGTAGAAAATGCTGAATGTTCTGAACAAAGCCAGACTTGAAACCCTAATGATCCAAGGAACCCAGAGTAAGAGACAACCAAATTTAGTAACGATTAAAACACCTGATTCTGTTCTAGACACATCCAAATCTAAAGGGGTGGACATCCTTTTTCTCTTCTCAGTTTTTAACATTTGGTTTATATATGCACACTTGCAAGCTCCAATGCATGTTAGCTTCCTTGTTCAGCGGGAACATTTCAATTATGAAATGTATCCTTTTCCTACATCTAACATATTCATGTAGTGCCACCAGTATTGAAAGATAATTTTATCTCCACATTGAATATAAATTCAGTTATGCAATTATGAACTAAGGTAGAATATGACAGTCTTTTTACTAACTGGAACATGGGACCCCAACCCTTTTCAGCTTGCAGGCACCTTTAGAATTTTGACACAGAGAGGTGGCCACAACTCCAAAACAACTGCTGCAGGAGGTGGAGGCCACCCATAAACCGTCAGAGAGTGAGGCCATGCATAGCTCTAATAATAACTCTTCAGCATTTCAGGCAGAAATTCTGCTTAATAGGATGCCTTTTTAAATGAACATATTTAAAATATTTCCTTGCTTACATACAGCTTACCTTCAGTAACACAGTGAAGATCCTCCCACTATGGTGGCAGCTGCTGCCAAAACAACTCTAGGGGGCGGTGTTCATCTCCGTTTCCAAGCTGAAGAGCCAGCATCGTCTGAGGACGTTTCTGTGGTAATGTGGCCAGCATGATTAAACGCCGAGGCGCACAGAACGCTGTTACCTTCTCATCGAAGTGGTACCTATTTATCTACTTGCAATTTCTTGCATTCGAACTGCTAGGTTGGCAGCAGCTGGGGCCAAAGACAGGAGCTCACTCTTGTCACACGGCACTCGGGTCTTGAACTGCCGAACGACAGTTCTTCTGGTCTGCAGCTCAGTGTCTTAACCTCTGAGCCACCGCAGCTCCTGAACTAGAGCATCATAAATCTGGATCCACTCATCTCATGCTTTCAGTCATTCTTCTTCGATGTCTTAATACTACTTCTGTAGCTAGATGAAGTAGTTGAGGAAACCGTAGTTGCAACATAAGAGCAAATACTCCCTTTACCAGGCACGGCTTTTTCTGTAGTCCCCAAATGCCACTTCCTATCCAAATATCTCCAGAAACTATCAAGATCTTCAGAAAGTTTATCAGTGTGTATGGAGGGAACCAGAACATCCTTGTATTTTTATGTTAATGTGTTAGTATTAGATCAAAAAATGTGCCATTATCACCTTCCATTTATGGCTGCTAGTATAATTTGATTGGTGACCTCCCCCTCCCCCCCTTTTCTTTTTAGAATTTTAGCCTTGGAATGTCAAAATAGAGAATGGCAAATAAGAGTGGCTTGCTCTTTCTCAGAAAGTGCCTTATAAAACTTATGATTTTAATTCCAGATGAGCAGCTGTATTAGTCTTTTAGCAGCAAAGTAGAAACAGGAGCCTAGTGCCTCAAAAGGTTATGCTGGAATATAGTCTGTTAGTCCAAAGTGGCACTTTGTTGTTGTTGTTCAGTCGCACAGTCGAGTCCGACTCTTCGCGACCCCATGGACCAGATCACGCCAGGCCCTCCGGTCCTCCGCCGTCCTCTGAAGTTTGCTCAACTTCATGTTCATTGTATCTATGACACTGTCTAACCATCTCATCCTTTGCCGTCCCCGTCTTCTTTGACTTCAATCTTTCCCAGCATCAGGGTCTTCTCCAGTGAGTGCTCCCTTCTCATTTGGTGGACAAAGTATTTGAGCTTCAGTTTCTTTCTTTCTTTCTTTCTTTCTTTCTTTCTTTCTTTCTTTCTTTCTTTCTTTCTTTCTTTCTTTCTTTCTTTCTTTCTTTCTTTCTT